ACCGGCTCCAGATACACACACAAAGCTCGGGAGGACACCGAGCAACTGGTTCTGCTCAAACATTTTAAAGAATGATTTCGGCAGATTTCTCACCAGCTCCTTCACATTGACCTGAGAAGTCAAGGGGTACGAACGCGTACTTCATTGCCTCCCTCGAAGTCCTGTGCCTGTCTCCAGGTCCACAGCGGGGTGGGATTTCCCCTCTGCTTGTCCCCCCCCCCGGCCTTGCTCTGTACCACAGCTTGGACAGGAACCTTCACTTCTTGCAGGTTTCTCTACCAAGCAGACAGAGCCACCCCCGTCCCAAAGGGGGACGGGGGGGGAAGCAAACTGCCGTGACCACGGCCTCCCTTGAGGCACAGGGGGCCTGTGGCCGTGGAGGGCAGCGGGTATCGGCTCCAGACAGGTGAAACACTGCCTGGTGCTTCTCGGCAAGAGACAAACCACGGGAGGCCTCACAGTGGCAGCCGGGCTTGCCAGCAGTGAGGCTCTGAATGCGCTGGCCCCACCCTGCTGGTGTCATAGGTGGCACTATGATGTGTCACAAGGTGCCTCCGAGCCTTCTCCCCACGATGAAAAGAACCTAAACAGCCGCTTTTTCACCCACTGCCATCGTGGCCTGGCCACCACCACACCGCTCACCCAGGCTGGCACGCCGGGTGGCTGCTTGGCAGAAGGCACTGGTGGGGTTGTGGGGCTTGGAGCCCGTTTTGGGGGCAACGCTGCCATTGTCAGAGCCCAGAGCCAGTCCCCACAGTCCCCACAGCTCAAGGCTTTCTTAGCTCCTCCATGCAGCCCTGCCCTGCTGTCCCCACACCAAACCCAAACAAGCAGCTTTTAAGCCGGCCCCGCTGCACGGCGTCGCCCACGTGGCTTTTCCCAGCAAAGGGGGCTGTCAGCTCACATTCCTCATGCACCGCGGACCCCACTCGAGCCAGCAGCGGTGTCTGAGCAGAGGGAAGCTGTGTCCGATCCAATTAGCATCATTACTGATGAGCTTTTTCATCTCTCAGCCACGTCCCATCCTCTGCGCACACACAGGCGGCCGTGCCGAGCAGAGCTGCTCAGGGCACCCAGCTGGGACAGCGGAAGGACAAGCCGAGCTGACCTCATCAAGGCCACACTAATCCCTTTTTTAGGGTTAAAAAAAGCAGAACAGCTGAGCGGGAGCAGCTGAAGTTTCTTTTTATCTTTGAAAAGAAAATAAAAGACAGTTTGCAAAATCTGCCGAGTTTTCTGGGTGCTATCCCAGCGCTGCGCCTTCTCCTTGGCTCCTTCAGGAGCTGGACCCTGGCTGTGGGCTGACGCCTTCCTTCCTGTAGTAAAGTGTTGGGCTGTCCCATATGCTCACCACAGCACTCCCTTGAAATAAAATCTCGTGAAGGAGCCGACCCTTCCTGCCCACCCCACTTCAGAAACAGCAGAAGAGCGCTCCCTGCACGGTGCTGGAGCCCAACACCCGGCACCTGGGCTGCACAGTGCCTGGAGTCACGGGGACACAGCCCCCAGGTGTTTTCAAGGGTTACTGGTCCCTGTAGGACATTCCCACACCAGTTGTGATTCATCATCCTCATCAGCGGAGTGGAAAAAGTGACCTCTTCCCCTGGAGGAGGCGAAAGAAGTGCGTAAGGAGAAGTATTTAAGAACATGGGCTTGCCCAGCAGGAAACCTGTGCAAAACTCACATGCCACAGCAGCCAGGGAGATCTTCCACCGAGTCGAGGAGCTCCTGGGGTCTTCCCTGCCTTTCCCTAGAGGTGTGCGCCCCCTCCCCACAGCAGCGTGCCCAAGGAAACGAGAAACCCAACACAGTGGGGGTGACAAACACCATCTCCCTGGAAGACACGGCTGTTGGTAAGGGCTGTGCAGCATCTAACTGGGGAGCTGGCCCAGATGCTGAACGTGAGGTTCTGGCCCATCTCCACAGCCCCCAGGCCCAGCCGAGCTGTCATTCATCCAGCTCAGAGCAAGGCCTCCCCAAAATCTCACAGCTAGAAATGTTTTAGACCCCACGAGGATGAGCCCTGGTTTATCACCAACAGCAGGCACACAGACCTTGTCCCAGACGGCTTCGCCTCTGGGAATTCTCCTGCGCATCCCACGGATCCCAGTGAAGACAAAAAAAAAAAGCATATTTCCCTACATTTCCCTAAATTTCCCCATTTAGGTGCTGACCTAGTGACCACAGTACTCTTTTTGGCACTGCACTTATCCTCACAGCAGAGGGGACCGAAAGAAATGGGGCAATGCTGCTGAGAGGGGTTTCCCCAGCACCACCAGCCAGACCTGGTCCCTAAATCAGCAGACCCTTCCTGCTCCCTGCACACATCACACCTCCACCAGTGCGTCTGGAGGGAGACAACGATGCTTTTGCTTCTCCAGCCGGTACCAGACAGAAGAAAGTCATCAGGTCTGCGAGCCCTGGCCATGGCACTGCGCGGATCCACGCAGCCGCCCTGCCGCAGCAGTAATTACGGGATCATCAGCACCCTGGAGCTTCCAGCTCTGTCAAACACAGGTTGACCCACGTCCTGAAATGCATTTGTTTACTTACATGAAGCCTATTCATTGCAGCCTCAGTGCTACCCGGTGGCCAGAGCCCTACCTGCTTCTGCTCTGAGTTCCCAAGCGGGAAAACCAAAACAGCTTCTGGGTTGCCTGCCCCAGTGGCACTGCAGCCCCCGCTCTGTACTGGCACCCAGCAGGAGTCCTGGGGGCTCCAGGCTGGGTTCAGGTCGTTCACACAGCTGCTGCAGGTGTAGGGCACCAGCTGCATCCATTTGGCATCCAAAAACGGCGAGGCAACGAGAAACATCAGCTGGAGGCACCAGGTCTAAGCCAGGGAGGTGATACCACCTGCAGCGCTCGCCCCGCTCCAGCACAAGTCCAAGCAAAGGACAAAAAAGCAGAGCAAGGAAAAGGCAGCGCAGGGAGGTTTAGGGCTCAAACCAGCCCGAGGACAGTGGAAAAGTCCAGCGGGAGATGGCAGAGCCCCACAGCATCTCCTGGCCACCCCCCTCCTAGAAGGAGACGCTCTGAGCACAGTGGAGAGCCCTTAATGAGTTTAAAACTGCCCCGTTTCACTTGTGCTAATCAAAAGTGCCTATTGTGTGCAAAAACAATGCCCACTGCTAGCTCTTGGAGCTCTCAGAAGCCCCGGCAGCGTCCACGCTCGATCCAGGGGCACAGCAGGCACGCGGCTCCGCTCTGCCACCCGCCGCAGCTTGGTGCTCGCCCGCTTGCAGGACGGCAGCAAAAAGGGGAAGAAAAACCCAGCGGCAGGGAGATGAGGGCCTTGAAGGCAAGGCGAGGAGCGAGAGAGCATCCCTGCAGCGAGGGGGAGCGCCCCCGGGCTTCAGAGCCTTCAACCCCTCTTCCTGCTGCTGGCACATGAGTCGTACCCCAAAAAAAAAAAAAATCACATGTCGATGGTGAGAGAGGTTTGCAGGGTGAGGAGCGGGCGGGGTTTTGCGACTGGGATCACACAGCATGGGAAATAGGGGCTGTCGCTGCCAAACACCCGAGCCACGAGGATTAGTGCAGGAAGAAAACGAAGAGGAAGCAAACACGGGAGCTCAGCACTCGCTCACACCGCTGGGATAGGGAACTGAGGCATGGGGAGGTTACAGGTGCCCTTCCTGCCTTATGTGATCCACTGTCACCCCACGAGCCCGGCGAGGATGCGAGAAGCAGCTGTGAGGCACCGTGGCCGACCGACCCTGCTTTCCCTCTGAGCTTTCCTTACCGCTGAGGATTCCCATCAAAAACCCAAGCAGGAAGGGACAGATAAAAACTGCGTCTGGACACAGGTACAGCCAGAGCTTGAGAGCTTTTTATCTTTCCGCCCTGCAGCACAACATGAGCCCAAAGCCCTGCGGCAGGGCCCTGCTGCTACCCCCAGCCCAGCTACAGGAGAGGACATTTGGGATGCACGCGGTGGGGAACCACCCTCAGCATCTCTCCGGCCCCATTTGCAAACGTCAGCATCGTTCATTTTTCTACAGTATTTTTCAAAGAGGGTCAGAAACCCTTTCCTACACTTTCAGCCCTATAATTCCTTTCACACTTCAAGTTACTCGTAGTGAAATACGCAGAGTACACGTGTCAAAAAGCCAGGTTTTGAGGAAAATCAGGCACCCAGCAGCAGCAGGCTGGGCGCTGGCAGCCCTGCACCTGAAGGGGAGCAGGGAGGAACCCCGGTCAGCCCCACCAGAGCAACGTTTGAGGACAAAAAAAGCAAAGCCTCGATCCCAAGACCTCCACCTGTTTGATGGCCAAGCCGACTCTGCTCTGCTCACCCCACGTGCTACCAACATTTTAACGACGCTTCCAAAATGCCCCCTTCTGGCAAATTACAGCTCGGGTTTGCGGGTCACAGCCCGGCAGATAAAGCCCTAATAAATCTGTCGTTTAACGGAAAATCAGCGCTGTCGGCACCGAGCGGAGACACAAGGCTCAGCTCCGACACAACGTGGTGTAACCGCCTAAAGCGACGAGGCAAATTAAACTAAAATCCCCATTTTAAAGAAAACATACGGGGAAAATCCCAGCACGAGGGAAGATCCCAGCATCTCTACAGAGTCTTTGTGCCTTTCAACACATTAATTTCCAGGCTGTGTACCTGTGTATTTCACACTTGCCTTTCCAGGCAGTAAATTATCACCGGCAATCCAAACACCCTGAGTACCTGCTGCTGGGTACCCTGACCCCAACTGAAGCCCTAATGGTTAATCAGCGACACCCCTTAACGCCCCACATCAGGCCAAACACAAAGCACCCAAACCCAAGCAGCCCCATGCCCAAAGAGCTGGCGATGCCCTGGGATGGGGCACCTCTGGCACCTGTTTCCCCCCTCCCCAAAACCCATCGGTCACGATGCCGTGCAGGGAGCGGGCAGCATTCCCCAACTACTGGATTTAAGCAGTAGTTTTTTAGGGGGTCCCTGACAGGACAGATCAGGGTCTGAGATGCCGGGGGGCTGCGTCCCGACCCCGCTCTTACCTCAGTGCATGGCCCCGCTGCTGGACGGTCCCGGTGTCCCCGCTGCCGAGGAGTTGAAACGTTTTAAAACACACCCCAAAAAAAATAAAAAAAATAAAATTTTAAAGTTGAAAAGTGACGGTGCGAGTTATTCCAAGTAAAAAAAAAAAATTAAAAAGTGGAAAAAGGGGGGGATGGAAAGGAGAGGGGTGGAAGGGAGGGTGCCCGTGCCATGCACTGCCCCGGGCTGCCGCCCCCCCCGGCCCCCCAAACCCCTCCGTGCCCCGGCCCCCTGAGGACCCCCCCGGCCCCCCGGGGAGGGCTCAGGGCGAGGCTGGGGCAGCTCCGGAGGGGCCGGGGGGTGCCCCGGGGTCCGGGGGCCGCCCTCGGGCAGGGGGACGCGGGGGGCACCCGCCGAGGCCCGGGGCGGGCCGCGGGGCTCCGCCGCCCCCGCGCATCCCCCGCAGCCCCGTCCCGTCGGGGCCCGCCCGGCACCGGCCGCAGGGGCACCAAAAAAAAAAAAATAATAATCAATTAAATAGTAATAAAAAGCGAAAAAGCGACTCCTGAAAGCGGGTCTCCGGCTGGATGCGAGCGGGGGGGTCCGGAGAGGGGCCCCGTGTGCCCCGCCCCGGCCCCGCTACGGCCCGCGGAGGAAGCGCGGGGGCGGCTCCGCTCCGGGCCGGCCGCCACCGCCCCGCCGGGGCCGGGCCGTACAGGGACCCGACGGCTAAATGTCTCCTTTATTTCTTAAATAAAAACGACAACGACGACGTTTTGGGGCCAGTCTAAAACTTAGGAGAAACAAAATCATTGTTAGAAAAGGTTTAGGGGGTGTAATCGGTGCTTTTCCACTGAGAGGGATGGTTGGGTGAAGGCACGGTGTTCTCCATGAGGGGCAGGTGTGTGCTACAGAGGGGGGGCTTAATTGGATCCCGCAATTAAGTGGGATTGCAACCATCGTGTCAGCTGTGCCACAGTGCGCCTGGAGCATCCCAGCCACCTCACCAGCCACCAAACATCTCCGGGCAGGCAGCACCGAGCCCCTTCTGGCCTCATACAACCTTGGCCTCCTGAAGGGGACATGGTCTCCAAAGGGGCCAGGACTCTGAAGCGCAGGCCCACTCCCACTGAACATAATGTTTTATTTTTGTTCTGTGGCTCGCAGTGGAAGCTGGAGCAGGGCCTTCTCCCTTTTGGGGCTTCACCACCAGGCCCCGCAGTGCGGTTCTTCTGGGTATCAGCCACGGCCGCTACGCCCGCGCTGAGCTTGGGAGGCAGCAGGAGCAGCACCACAGCTGTAGTCGTTTTGGAAGAAGCGTCAAACATGCAGGGAACACTCCAGAAAGCAGGGGGAAGCCCTTAAATCTTGATTCTGCCAGGGACATTCCTGGGTACTTACCCACAGTGCTCTGCAGAGAGCTAAATGACAGAAATTACAGCCAGGCCACGAAAACCCAGTCACAAACAGGGCAAGAAATAAACGATGGGATCGGATGGAGGCTCCTTCGGGCGTTTCCCAAGCCCCACCAGGGGAGGAACAGACCCTGAAGGGCTGCGAGGAGCGGTGGAGGTGGACACGAGGCCTGGTGGAGCCGAGCTGCCATGCTGGGGCATTTCCCTGTGTGTGGAGGTGATGCGGTGGCCTCCGAAACTCCGTCCCTTCCCTCGCTCCTCACCTTTGCCCCCGCGGGCACCATGCTGTAGGGTGAAACCGCTCCTAATGAGAAGGGGAGAGACAGAAAAGTGATAAGGAGTTAACTTCCAGAGTCCCCTTGGAAACCCAAAGTTGTTTGGAGTGTGAAGACCCAGAGCCGGCAGGTTCCTCGTCTCCTTCCCTTTCCTGCTGCACTTTATTCACACCGCTTCAGATGATAGAGGATGCCCAGACCCTAAATTCACCCGGATCTGGAGCCTGCCCCGTGCCCTAAATGCACCCCGTCGGCTCTCCCACCCTGACATGCTTCCTTCTGGCTTCTGGCCTCCAGCCGAGACCCGGCGTGGAGCTGGGCACCATTTTCTCCAGCGCCCGGCCCCACAGCCTGTGGCTCCCTTGTTGAGGTGACCGCCGGCCAGGCCCCACACAGATGGTGCTGAGCACACAGCCCAGTGCCAAGCAGAGAAAAACACCATCTCCAGAAACCTAAGAAATCCCTATTCTGCAGCGCTCTGCCCCAAACCGGGCTGTCCTACAGCTGCCCCCAGCCCCTGAGCACCGCCACAGCCCGGGCTGGGGAGGGGAGGCAGCGACGGGCAGGGCCTGGCCGCAGCGAGTGGGAACACAAGGACACGTTTCCACCTATTAACTCCACTTCCTTCGCTTCCTGCAGCCTCACGGCAGCGGGTTATTAATAGCACGTCGCAGACGAGCACCGCGGCCGGCCCAGGATCCGGCCTCCCCGTCACAGCCACTCGGCAGCCGTGGAAAACCCGCACGCGAACACTGCGAGCAGCCCGTGGGGAAAGAAAGAAAACGAGGAGTCTGCCACGTGCCTTGGGGAGCTCCCCCGGGTGCCTGGTGCCTTCTGGAAGCCCCACACCTTGCATCTTGTGGGAGGCCAGCGACCAGCAGCTTGCAGCCCTGCCTTTTTGGTCAGAAGTTTGCTCACGGGGGTGCTGAGATCTTCCAGCCTCGTGGCAGGCTCCAGCACAGGAGCCAGCTCCGGGTTTGTGGGGAGCAGCCGGGGCCATACCCCAGACCTGAGCTCCTCCGGGGGAGCTGGGGAGCTTGGGGTCACCCCAGCACCTCTGATGCGTTTGGGAAAGCAGAGACCCTGCAAAATGGGCCTGGCAAGGGACTTCTGGAGAACTGCCTCCTCCTCCTGGGATGGGAAGAGGAAATCAGCAGTCCCTGGGGAGGACATGTGAAGCAAGAGAGCTCCTGGGATGCCACGTGGGACCACGCAGGGCCGATGGACGGGAGCTCCTCCACCCAACGCTGTGGGCCAGACGCTGACACAGCCACGCAGGGGATGTGGCATCATGCACAGAAAGGCTTCTCCCACCCTACCCCATCCCTCCAGCTCCTCTCTCAAACCCCAGCCAGTGGGGACATCCAGCACCCCGTGACCCACAGCCCCAGCACCAAAGTTTGCAAATCAGGCAGTGATCAAAGAAAACAAAACAATAACAAAACTCATAACATCAGTGGGGGCAGGGCTGCGTCAGGCAGACTCCGGCTCGGCTGCTTTCCTTCTAGCTCAAGCCGTTTCACCACACCAAGTGAGCGAAGAAATCCCTCTATTTATCTCCCAGCATTTGTTTCCTCAAGTCCTGTTTTCCAAAGTCAACCTTAATCACTCCTTAATCATATGTGATGCTCCTCTGGCTTCAAGCATCCCTTAACCCTGTCCTGAAGACTGTTCCCATATCCAGCCGGGGCTGCCACCTCTCTTGGAGCTCCATCCAGCGATCGTGTCCTCGCATTGGCTTTTGCTCTGGGCACGCCTGGCTCCTTAGCACCCCGAGGTGGCCTTGCACCAGTCTCAGATATTCCCTAAGGTGCTGGATGGCCCCACATCAGTCCTCTTCCCCTCCTGGCTGGCATTTATGGGGACGACTCCGCTGTGCTGAAGAGCAGGAAGCAAACGGGCGCCTTCAGCCGCAGCAGCAGGAGCAGCAACGTCTCGCAAAGCCCCGGCATTAAAGCACGTGGGCGATCGTCTCCCCAGGATCTCCACCCAGGATCCTTCCTGCTTCGGAAGATTTATTTGATTTTTTTTCTTTTTTTTTTTTTTTTTGGTAACACGGAAGCAAGAGCAGGAGGAAATACATAAAAAAACGGTGCCTGGGAGGCTGCAACCTCTGTCCTCCTTCCGCTCCTTGTGTCAGCAGTGGCTCCAGCCCCTGCTCTGGGGGAAAGCTGCGCTGCTCCCCCCCAGCTCACACAATCCCTAAGGCTTCTTGCGACGACCTTACCCACACGTGCCTCTGAAGGTGCAGCTGGAGCAGCAGCTTGCAGGGGGTGACGTGACCAGCGGGCGCCCAACACCATGGGTCGGAGCAGAGGGGACAGCATCCCGCATCCCCGACCCCACGCCTGTGCAGAAAATAAAAGGTTCTCTGCTTTAAACCATTGTAAAACTCGAAACACAAAGCGAATGCTGTGCAGGATGGCTATCTAGGTTAATATCGTGTGCATTGTGCTGATGTGCAGGGGGCTTTTTGAAACGGGGCACGATTCCCGGCTTTCCTCCCTCTCAAGGAGAGGACTAAAAGCTGTCCCTGGAGCAGAGCCCGCAGGTCCCACGGGTGGCACGGGGCTGAGCGGGTCCCTGATGCCCTCTGGTGCCGGGTGCTTTGCCCAAACCTGCTCCCTGCCCACCAGGCCGAAGGCGCAGGCTGTGGGGCTGGGCAATGAAGAGCTGCAGCTCCGGCACCCGGCAGCCCACGGTGCATCCCCAGCAGCCCCGAAAGGCAGCAGGAGGGGAGCGCTTGGGGCAGCTCCCCAACACCAGGCACTGACAAACCCTCAGGTTTTGGGGCAAAGCCATCGGCATCACAAAGCTGGAGCATCCCAGGCCCAGCAGGGAGCCACGGAAAGAGGTTTTTCTCCCCAAAAGGTCTCAAACGCAAAGATCTGGGCGCCCAGCACGTGCGGAGCACGCCGCTTTGTTTCCTTCCACCCTGTCAGCCCCTGGCTGTGCCCGTGCAGGGGCTTCCTACGCAGGGGCACCGCAGGCTGTAGGGTCACAGGCTGTAGGGTCACGGGCTGTAGGGTCACGGGCTGTAGGGTCACCGTCTGCAGCCGATACAAACCCGGGCAGCGCAGGGAGCATCGCTCCAGCCCAGGCGCTGCAATAACGGAGCTCTCCCTTAGAGGTCAGCCCAACACCAAAACCGGGCCCCAAAATCCGCAGGGCTGGAAGCGGTCCCCGTAAAGAGGAATCTGATGACAGCGGGAATTTGGGGTGGGCAAAGGATGCTCACCGACACCTGCAGCCCTCACCTTGCTGCCTGCGGGGGGGTGCTGCTAAAAGCCGAGCTCTCACGCGTGCTCCCCAGCTCCGTGGGGTGGGGGACAAAGCCCCGATGCCTCCAGGGGCTGCTTTTGGGGAGCAGGACAAGCAGCAGCCCGGTCTTGTTGCTGCTGTGATATTTTGCATGCCCAAAGCAGATGGAACAGCTCAGCAGCTCCAGCAGGTGCCGGCTCCTTCCCATGAGACGCTGCAGCCCAGTCTGTGTGTTTTGTGTTTTTTTTTCTTTTCCATCATAAAACAGACCTCAGCATCATACTAAAAATAGAGAGATTAACAAATAAATCCCCAGCACGCAGCTCCCGGGGTCGGCGGCCGCTGGGGACGGCAGCAGAGCTGAGCCGTGGGGATCCCGCTGCTGAGCATCCCTGCTCCGTGCGTGTGGTTTTGGGGCACACAACGAGGATGGGTGCCCCGGGACAGCAGCCTGCAGGTGCAGCCCTCAGAACAGAGACCTTAATGCAAGGGCTCGGGGGGGTAAAGAGGAAATTAAATGTGCAGCAACCCCAATCTTCAGCGGGACGCTCACCTGCGTCTCCCTTGGTGGCGCAGCGTGGTTCTGTCGGGGCTTCGGAAATGGCTTTGGGAAAGAAAAGCCACCCCACTGCCCCCACGGCCACGCTCCCTGCCTGTCCCCTGGCAGCAGCAGAGCCCCCCATGTGCTGCCCCCAGCCTGGCAGCTCCTTTTCCGATCCCCTTTCAGACTTTCTGCCCGTGCTTAAAATGAAGAATAATAATCGGAGCTCGTCCATCAGCGACAGCTGGTGCCTGCCCTCTGCTAAAGAGCTCCGCTCTGCCCGGGTATTTTTTTCCCCTCCCTAAATTCAATTAGGTGTAATTAGGACTTGGCCCCATTACGGCCACGACTCCCCCGGGCCGGGCACGGGGCTGGTGGCCTCTCGCCTCCCGCTGGTCCCCCTCCCACAGGAGCTGAAATGCAGCAGAATAAATAATAATTAAATATTAAAACGCAGGGGTCTGAACGACTAGCCCTCGCCCCCGATGGTTCCCAGCTGCCTCCCATGAGAGGCATCAAGGACCGGGTTTTGAGCAGCTCCAGCCACTGTGCCTGCTGCAAGCCTCGTGGCTGCCCGACCCCAGGAGAGCTGCCCCTGGCCCCCACAAACCCGGCACCACGTCCCCGTAGCTCTGGGGGCTTCGTTTCTCCTCGCTTGGAGCTCGTGGCTGGCTCGGGGAGGTTCAAGGCGCTCTTTCTGGAACAGGCAGCAGCCAAGGAGGGGGTGAAGCAGGAGCAATGCAGGGAGCAGGGTGGCTTCTTGCTTGTATCTTCTCTCTCCCCAAATTAAACCCGTTCCAGTGCGTTGTGCTCTAACACCCATCTTCTGCAGCCTTCTCCTGCTGAAAAAAGCCACTTTGCTTGCAACCAGGAGACAGGAGAGGGGAGGAGGGAGAAGAACAAGATATCACCGAGGATCAAGCAAGCCAGAAAAACACCCAAGCGAGACCAGGCGTTCTCTAAAAATCCGAAGTTTATTCATTAGAATTCAGTGAAAGGAACATTCAGTTTAAAACACAGTCAATACATTAAAAAGTTGAAGGAACTAGTAGCAATGAGACCAGACCGGGACAAAGCCCCCCCCCCAGTCAGTCCCCTCCCCGGGGCCAGAGGGGAACCCACTGCCTCCGCCGGGCTGCCAGCAGCACTGGGGCCAGCGGTGCCAGCAGCAGGGCTCCCTTGCAGGCAGCCACGGAGGGGGCCAGCGAGGGATGGACGTGGGCAAAGCGCTGTTGGTGAGCACTGCCGGGCTTCTCTAGGTTTCTGCGTGTTCCCTGCACCACGAGCAAGGCACCCGCAGAGGCAGTGGCAGGACGGGCGCTGCTCCCAGCAGTGGGGAGCGCGCAGCGGGGTGCCGGAGGGGCAGGAGGGGGGCTGGCCGGGCTGAAGGCCTTTTTCCTTGTCCATTTTCTGGGATCATACAGGCACGGAGCGAAGAGCCGGTACCAGGTCTGAGCTGCACTCGAGACGGGGCCCGCACAGCGAGGGGCAGAGGGAATGTGAAAGCAGCGAGGGTCAGCACGCCCCCGGAGTGTTTGCCAAGCCACCTGCCTGCCCGGCCCTGTCTGGGAATGGGGCAAAGCCATTTAAGAAAAAAAAAAGAAAAAAGAAAAAAAAAATAGCAGCACTCCTTTTTGTTAGGAGCTATTTAATAAAAATACAAAAACCTGTGCAGAGCTAAACGCCTGGGATGGAACCGGCACCTCTGCCAGCGCTGGCTGTCAGGGGAAGAAGGGACAAATCTGCTCTCAGTCACAGTAATTTTTTTTTTTTTTTTTTAGCTTTTCAGCATTTAATTTTCTTTTTGCCTGTCACTGTTTGGCATTGTTCTCTTCTGCTCAATTAATCAACGTGACCTTCTGCAGAGAAGTTCTGTCAGCCCTCACACCCCACACAGGGTTGCAAACTCTCTGCAGGGGCACAGACGTAGAGTCAAGCAAACAAAGCAGCATATTCATTCAACTAAAAAAAAAAAAAAGGGGGGGGAAGAAAAGAACCACGTTAACTAGTGGTGCTAGGTCTTAGCTTACCAGCAGCTCTCGTTTCAATTAAGATCCCAAAATTCGAGGCAGCGTTGCTCCGGGAAGAAGCCAGGCGGGGAGGGACGCTCAGACCGCAGGGTTATTTTCAGAATGATTCTCAGACAGACACGGCCTGGGCACCCTCCTCTCCTCCAGAGAGGAACTTTGCCACCGGTTTCAAGATCATCACCGCAAACCAGCTGCCAGCATCTCCTGCCCCACGAGGTTGTACGGGGATTTAAGAACAGCCCCGGTTTTGGACAGAGTAATTACGCACACAGAAGGGAAAGCCCCAGCTGAAATCCACGCTTTTTTTAGCTTAAAAGACAGCCGACAACACTTTCAGGGAGAAATCACCACGGTCCACAAATTCAGATTAAAAACAAAGCTAAAAAACAGGTTGACAAGTGTGACAAACCAGTATTAAAACAAAGACATCTTAGCGGCGTCCACAAAGAGAGAGTAAGTATTGGCAAGGGCCCGGCTGCTGGTTTGCAGAGCCAGGCCCTCGTATCACGTTGAGCAGCGTGGTACACAAGGGTGTGAGAAGCGAGGTGGTTTTCTTGCATTGCACAGGCAGCGGCAGCAGCAGTGACAGCAATAAATTGCTTTTTTTCTCCATCGGAACTGTAAACCACACCATTTTAAAACACAACGTACGTAAGTAAAAGAACAGTCCATAAAATCTCCCCATGAATATAAAATGCAAAACTATACAAAAATAGATAAAATCGACCGTTTTCTTGTGTGTATATAAAAAAAACAAACAAACGAACAGAAGAACAAAGTCCCCAAAATGCAATACAGTTACTTGGTAGGCTGACCTGAAGGGCAGTGGTTTGCTCTGCAAGGTAACAGCGATAATCCACCGCTCCGAGCCAAGGCTTTCCCTGCAAGGGATGTACTCGGTTCCTTGAGGTTTGGGGGAGATTTTCCTCAACATCCCGGCAAGACAACCTGCTATCCTCACTCCTACGACTTATTTTTTGGCTCAGTAGACTCCTTTTTCACAAAAAGCCTCAATTACTACTCTCAAACTTGGGCTCCTCAGGTAAGTCTCTGTTACACCAGGTTAAAAGGCATCGGCTCCATCCAGAGACGAGCACAACTGCTGCAGCCCTGGGTGAGAAACGGGGCTGCTTCTAGCCCAGATGGGCTCCAGGTGGGGAATTGCTTGGAAATGCTGCTCGGTACGAGGTTGGCAGTGGTGACCGAGCAAGCTTCGAGGGCATTGCAGGCTGCCAGCCCCTCCGCCCTACAGGAAAGCAGCCAGAGGTCGATCCCACCCCAAATTGGCAGTGCCCGCTCCCTGTGCCACCAAACACTCCCTGTGTGGCTTCAGCAAAGCCAAACTATCAATTAACATCAATTAAATCAGAGAAAGGATGGAGGATCACCCTTAAAAGCTTCATTGCCAGACCTGTTGCTTCTGAAAGGGGGGTGCGAGTATTTCCCCCCCTCCAGGGATTTAAGCGTTAGTTTGGACACTGCAACTGCGAGAAATCTCTCCTAAATCCCTACCAGGACGAGATCAAGGCCCAGGAGCTTGCATTTGGCACTCAAGGCGTAGTTCTTTTATAATTTCTGAGTCGGAAAGTATCGTGGGGAAGATCGGGTCCTGTTTCTCCCAGAGCACATAGGTGTTGTAAGAGCAGGAGGGCGTTGGGTAACGAAACCCACTCCACGGCAGTGCAAATCTACAGCCCGGGTTAGCAGAACGAGAATTCTTACTTCTTTTGGTTAATGGGGCAGAATGCTCCAATAATCCAGGAAAATGGGTTTAAAACGCTTTCTAAAATCTCCCTTGAAATCAGCAGGTGTCTGCTTCATTTAGTTCCAATCAAATCAAGAGGAGGAACCTTTGGTATGAAGTCAGATTATCAAGTCTTGCCTGTATTGCTTTCACACGTTAGTCTAGGACCTGTTGTCAGGAAGTCTTTCCACTACGTACCTACAACCAAAATAATTATTACCAAAGAGACATGCATTTGCAACTGTACATTCATTTTAGCACTGAGACACTTTCATACTTCACCAGAACTTTGGCAAAGGCTGCGTCATTTATGAGAACACTACACAACCCCCCCCCAACCTGCAAGATGCCTTTGGTGAAAGAAAATAAGCACTAAAAATCCAGGAAGGGGCTGCTGCGGAAGCCGAGCCATTACCGTGAGCACCGGTTTGTGCCGTGGCATCTCTGGTGTTGCTGGCACTGCCTGCCTGCCACCCGTCCCACAGCGGTGTCAATTTGGGCTGCTCTGTCCCACGAAATCCCTTTTGATAACAGAGGAGTGCGCAGAGGGCAGGAAAACGTGGCACAGCGCGTTCCCACAGCACCTCCCCGAGGAGGTGGGGGTACAGAAATACTGAAAAGTGAAGGTTTAGTCCCACAGATGCACAGATAGCTCTGCTCTAGCCTCAGGAGGCTGGGGAAAACAAGAAAAAAAATCATACAGAAATGGAACTGCCAAAAATCAAAGCCTGACTTTGAATTTTGAAGAATTTGCCGTTCCCTGCTCCTTCGTGGATGCACAGGGACAGGGGTAAGAAGCCTCTTCCCAAGAAGGAGCAACAGGACTTGGCTTTGCTTGGGCACGCAGCACAAAGCAGCTGGCGGTGCCTCGGGGCCAGCGGGGGGCTGCTCGTGCTCCAAGCAGGTCGGTCAGTGGGGCGGGGGCACGAACAGCAGGACCTGGAGGAGGGGAACGCTGGGGTATTGCCAGTTGGGGATCATTTTTTTTTAATGCTAAAAGCTCTGCTGTGGAAAGAAGCAGGAAAGGGGCAAGGCGGGGAAGGAAAAAAAAAAAAAGCGATCTGAAACTGAATTAAGATTCAGAAGTTGGACAGAAGCAGGAAGAGGCTTCGTAAGTCACAGAAGGCGAGGTTTGGGCCACAGAAAACAGTGTTTAAGATCACCCAGGACACCTGAGAGTCCTTGAGGAGAGACAGGAGCTCTGCTCCAGCAGCCTCAAAGTGTTCCCAGGAGCTCACAGCCTCAGCACAGAGCCTGCCTCCCTCGCTCACGTCCCTTCCCCACGCTTGTTGAAAGAGGAAAACCAAACCAAACAAAAACCTGCAGCACCCTCCAAGCTTTTTTGTTCCCTCCAGTCAGGAGGAAGAAGTCGCGAAGCCTAATTTAGGCTGTGTTAAATCCTGTATTCCAATTAACAGAATACTGTCCCCGCGTGAGTTTCTGCAAAGAAAACAAAAAACACAAAGTGAAAAACCCACAGAACTTCCTTCTGGAGAAAGTAACAGCACCGGCAGCTTCGCAGCTACAGGCACAATGCAAATTGAGCTTATTTCAAAGAATTCCTACATGTGCCCGTGGCCTGGGAGAGGCTGGGAATGTGGGACAAAGCACGGGAAATGCTTCACTTGGAAATTACGCACCACAAAGACAGACCACGACAGATAAAACGGGGCTGAAGTTTTGTTCTGGAAAGGGAATCCATCAAGAGGACACCTCTCCGGGTGCTGTATTTTTGAGCAAATTAAAGCTAGAGCTGAAAAATGTTATCAGCACGCACACAAAAGCCCCTGCTTTCCTTTTGGGCAGGAAAAAAAAAACTGTTACGGCAACGTTCCCCTGAATCGCCTCCTTCCCTTGCTCTCAAAATAACCTGCATCCTTCCTCTGGGGTCCCCAAATCACGATCAAGGTGGAAGACATTAAAAGTCTGTCCGAAACAAAACGTTTCACTGAGAAGAGGAAGAAAAAAACCAGTTTCTTCTGAAAGCTTCCCCGAGACTTGCTCCCCTGGCTCTGTCCTGAAGCAGGGGCTTCAGGAAGGTGCCCGAAAGCTGCCTGGCCCCAAACCCCCCCCCAGCAGGGAGACGTGACCCCACACAACCAACTAACGCCCGAAGCGAGGGCGCAGGGCAGCAACGCTCCCTGCTCCTCCCAAACATCAAATCCTCCAATCCTTCCTTCGGAGGTGGCGGTGCCCCTCGAGCTGAACCTGCCGAGAACAAACCTTGCCGTGCTGGAAAAGGGTCCGTTTCCAGAATTTATTCTAGCAGCACTGGGGCCGGGCACTGGGGCCGCGTTTTGCATTGTGTATTGTATTCGGGAGCGGTGGCTCGCGCTGGGAAAAAAACAAAAAAACAAACCAAAAGTGCCTCAGTGTTAATCCATGAATCTAGGAGGTTGCTCTACATCAAACCGGAGTGCCCACAGCAGCGCGGAGCGGCGCTCACTGCAGCTGCAGGAGTTCGTCTTTGTTGGCCCAGTCGGACATTAAAGTCGCTCATTAAAGTCACTCGTTAGCGTTCACTTTCTCCCTCCCCCTGTCCCCCCTTTTAACCCTTTCCCCCTCCCCCCGGCTGCCCAGGAGGAGCTATTTGGCTCCCGTTACATTCAGCGAAGGGTTCGGGCAGCCGGCGGGCAGCGCGCTGCCCTGCGTGGCTCTCCCTTTCAGCAGCTCTTGGCCGGCGCTCCCGCAGCGCTCCGCGAAGCAGGAGGGGTTTTTTAAGGTTTCGGTGCTGTCGTCGTGAAATTGGGGCACCCCCTGGGCCACGCCGACGGGTTTGCACTTGGCTGGTTTCTCCGGGGACTGAGCGAAGCCGAAGCTCGGCGGCGGCGGCTCCGGCTCGCCCAGGGGTAAGACTCGGGCGAGCTTTTTGGCCGCCACTTCTGCGTGGTGGTACCTGTAGGCACCGGGCGCCTCCGGGGGCTGCCTCGTGTCGGCCTGCAGAGGTAAATTGGACGGCCTGACCAGCTGCCTGTCCGGCTCCGGCTCCTGGGGCCGCCTCTCCAGAGCCTCCCTGGCGCTGCCGCGGGAAAGGGACAGAAAGGGGGAGTCGGCGTGGGGCTGCTCGGACGGCTCCCAGCCGCTCTCCAGCCCAGCAGCCGGAGCAAAGCCCCAGCGTTTCGCCCCCCCGGCAGCCAGCTCGGCGTCGTACTGCAGGTGCTGCAAGCCCGGCCAGCCCAGCACACCGTCGGCCTCCCCACCTGCAGGAGCAGCCAGCTCGGCGTCCTCTTTGCTCCTTCTCGCACCGTCCGAGTCCTTTTTGTCCCGTTTAGACCAGAGCTGGCAAGGCTTAAGGCCGTTCTTGGACACCTGCAGGTCGGCGAGCTCGAACTCGAGGCTCTCCGTGTCCAGGGACCTGCTCCTCCTGTTGATGGAGAGCGGCGCTGGCATGGCCGGGCTGAGCCCGTGCAGGCGCAGGTGGCGGGGGAGGCTGGCGACACCCCAGTTGCAGCTCTGGAAGGAGCCCTGGGGGTACCCGGGGAACATTCTCTCGTCACATTCAGCGAACGACTCTTTCTGCACGTAGCTGTCGTCAAAGGCCTCGAAGGACGCGGCGATGTCCTCGTCGGCGTTCATCTCCAGGTGCTGCTCGCACTCGCCTTCCCCTTCCTGCTCCACGTCCACGATGTCGAAGGTGACCATGGTGGGGAGGACGGGGAGGTTCTGCGTGAAGGAGGAGCCGGAGTCGGAGCTGCCCAGGCTCTCCGAGAGGCTGGAGAAGAGGGTCCCGCTGCTGGTGAACTCCACGAGTGCTTGCGAGAAGCTCACGGCGTGCTCGGGCTCACGCTCGCCGTCGGCCTGGGGCTCCCCGGGGGCGGCCTCGGCCCCGTCGCGGCGGTCGCTCTGCGAGCAGCTCTCGCACTCCTGAGGCCTGTAGCCAGGGAACGGCCCCGTTTTGGATGGGGCCACGTGGACGGACCCCCCGAACAACGCCCGGTCCGGGTCGGAATCGAACCCTGGGTTGTTCTTCATGAGCTGAATAAGGCAACTTCCTTGGGCTTTTTGGCTGTTGTAACAGTTCTCTGGACACAAAGGCCCTGGAAAGTCCCTCCACTCCGGGTTTTCGCCTCTCGCCCCCGAAACCCCGCTACTCACGCTCCTGTTTGGAGCTTGAGAGGCAATCTGCTCACTACCAAGGCCACTCTGATTTTTGCCAATCGAGCTGGCTGCTCTGGTTTTACATTCAAGGTACTGCTTTTCCCGGGGAGCATCGAGCCGCTTCAGGACCGGTTCCCTCTGCAGCTCCCAGTAGAGCAGCTCCTTCTGGATGGCAGCCAGCCGCTCCTCCTCCGTTTCCATAACGCCCATCTTCCGATCCATCATCTGGAGCAAGCCCTTCTCAGCAGGGAGACAGAAGTCCAAGAAGTAGCTGAAGATCTCCGGGCGAGACACTTTGCTCTCAAACAGGGGCTCCTCCCCGTGCGAGGGACTCAGCAGCGCATCATCCGGCTCGTAGAACTCGTAGAGCGCGTCGCCGCTGTAGCTGTCCCTGGGCAGGCGCTCCTTCTTCATCTCGCAAAGCCCATCCCCGCCTTCATCCTCCGGCCCCGGCGTGGTGGAGTCGTAGTACCCCTCGTCGCTGTTGGGTGCAGACTCCTGCTGGTCGCTCTGCGGCGTCAGGAGCTCGACGAGGGCTTCTGCCTCCTGCAAACCACGCGCCTCCAGCTCGCCGCTCGCCGCCTGCGCGTCGTGGCCGCTCCCGGCGGGCGGCAGCTGGGCTTCGTAGCCCCCATCCCCCTCGGTGGCGCTGTCCCACATCTGCTGGAGGTATTCCTCTGCCTCCTCCGGCATGGCCATCTCCTCCCCGCCGCCCTGGTAGGTGACGAGGCAGGAGCTGCGTTTCGCAGCGTCTCTGCTGCGCTCCACGGAGATGGTGCTCTCGGCGATGCTGAGGATGTCGGGCTCGGCGATGATGTCCCCGCAGCCCGTGAGGGAATCGAAGCTCTTCAGGGAGGTGACATCTCCGAAGATGAGGCTCAGCTGGTCCCCGGAGTGCAGCGAGGGAGGGTCGTTGTCTGCCAAGTCGGGGTGCAGGGCCACGGGGAGGTGGCCGTACTCAGACTCCGCACAGACGGCGGCGGCCGCCTCCGATTTTGCATCCAGGGCGTCCCGGTCCCCCGGCATCGCCACCCCATCACCCTCGGGGCTGCCCTGCTCAGCCCCCAGCCACTCTGGCTCAGCAGCCTCCCCGGAGTTGGTGGTGGTGCCGACCGAGCAGTTATCCTCCGAGCTCCCCGGGCAGGCGGCAGCGAGAGGCGCAGACCCAGGTCCCCTTTCCTCTGTGGCTCCTTGGGTTTCCGTCCCCGTGCCTCGAGCTTTGTTGGCCTCCTCGGAGCCCCCAGCCCACTCGGGGAGCTCTGCTTTCTCACACTCAGCCACCTTGCTCTTGCGGTGACGCCGGATGCTGTTCAGCAGCCCCTTCAGGCCTTTTTTCGGTCTGGGGAAGGTTGACTTGTCTCCAGAGGGCTTCTTCTCACAGCCCTCGCTGCTCCCTGGCGGAGAGCCGTCCTGCCTGCCAAAATCAAACCTGACGCTGGTGTCTATGGCCACGTGGACGCTTTGGGAGCTCGGCAGCGGGCAAGGATGCGAGTCCTTGCTTCCATCCGAAGGGCTTTCCAGCTGCACCCTGCTGCCCTCGTCGTACACAGCGCCGCTGATCCCATCGTGGGTCTTACTTTTACTGAGCCCCTTTTTCGAGGCTCCTTTCCCCTGGCCTTTGTTCCTGCCGCTGAAGAAGCTGGGCAGCGTGCAGATGCTCCTCTTCCCTCCGAACAGCTTGAAAGCAGTTTTCTTCAGCTTGCCGGGGGGGGCCTGGGGCTGCTGCTGCTGCTCCACGGCCGCCACCGAGGCGTCGCTGCGCTGGGACAGCCGCTCGCCGTTCTCCTCGGGCTGCTGCTCGCTGCCCTTGCGCTGCCGGCACGCAGCGGACTGGGACCTGCTCCCGGCTGGCTCCTCGGCGCACGCTGCTTCCATGGCAGCTGCTGGGCTCGCGTCGGTCTAGCTGGAAGCGAGGACTCGGGCGGCAGAGCCTTCCTCCGGGCACGCGGGCTGAAGCATCGTGGCTGACCTAAAGCAAAGAGAGAAGAGAGAGGAGGTGAGGTGAGGCAGGAGGCAGCGTGGAGTCGCTTGCAGCGCTGCAACGAGGCGAGGGGCTTCGTCCCCGTCTGGAACCAGCGCTGCAAAAGCCTCCCGAGTTAGTTACTGGACGTTTTTTTTTCCCCTCTCTCACCAGATTTCGGTTGTTTTTAAAATCATCTGTCAAGCATGGAAGAATTGCATTAAAACCATTCATTACGAACCACCCCGATCAGATTATCTCAGCAGCAGGGAGAGAGGTTTTAAACTTTCAGCCTGGATTGATGTCAATAGCCGAGAAATAAAATAACAACCTTCCTTTCCCGGAGTCGGGATGGGAGAGAACAAATCCAATGAAGCTCGTAACGCGCTGCTGAGCCGCTCTACCTGAGGCTTAGCCCTGCCTGGTACCAGGCTGGGAAAGCTTCCCACAGGCTTTGCCCAGAGATCCCGAATCAGAAACACACCCGGACAATGGCTCCTGGAGCTCAACAGCAAACCCACCACCTCAGAGCTTCTCTCGAGCCTTGGGAGCCTGCACAGAGAGTATCACAACATCTGTTTGCCTCCGTAATTAACGAGAGCCCTGGTGATTTGAGGCCTCTGGGGCCTTCCCAGAGCATCCCAGGGGGGTTGTGGCACTGTTCTAGCTCTGACAAAGCGCTTCTGGACTCCTAAATGCTTCCCAAACCTTGCTGGAGCAACTTCCCAAACCTTGCTGGCTTTCTCTGGAGCCTCCCCAGAGCCTCTCTGCAGAGATCTCCTTAGACAGGACTGAAAGACAACAGCATGCACACGTGTGTACGCACAGATTGTTTAAGAAATGGCAGAACAATGAAACAGGAACAAGATTTCACAAACTCGATTTGCAAACAAACTCGCTCTGACACGACGGACGCGCGCTGCCGTGACCACACGGCTCGTTAGGGTCGCTCGCAAAATAAAGGCACCAAGGGCAAAACCCCAAACCTGCATCAGGGTTAAGAGCAAAACCAAGCAAATCCCAATAAAAGACAGCGCTTGTCCTGTCCTCAGCTTCCTGGGGACAGGGGGAGCCAGGCAAGGTGCAGCTTTCTGCCCCGGGTCCTCCACCCGCTGGGCTCTCCTAACTCTGTAAGGCCACAGACGTGCCCAGCCACCACAACCTTTGGCAGCAAAGGAGGAGGAAAGCAGCCCGGCCTGCCCCTAAAAGCTTCGGGAAAACAGCCCTGACTGATCCCCCCAACTCACCGAGGGGCTGAGGCTGCTCTCCACGCGGGCTGGCGCTGCCTGCGGTGAGCAGGCTGCTAAATCCCTGCCTGGTGTCACAGCAGAGATTAGCTGGGGAGCCCCTAGAAAGCCATCGGGGGGCTGGAGGGACGAGACCCTGGAGGGACGAGGCCCTGGAGGGACGAGGCCCTGGAGGGATGAGGCCCGAGCACAAGAAGCCAGGAATCCCCCCTCCTACAGGCAGGCGCACAGGGCCGGCACAGCTGCTGGCACGGGAGGTGTGCGCCCGAGCACGAGCAGTTAATTCCCGCAGGCACCAGGCAAGGACGAGCTCCGATCAATTAATTCTCAGCAAGGGAACAGGAGCGTCCTGGTGCTACAGACAGGGAAAGGGGAATTAAGGGACTTACCCGCGTCCCGGGGGAGGCTGTCCTGCTGCCAGGATTAGGAGGCAGAGGCACCCCCAGCCGGAGAGCGGATTTCTATAATCCGGGAGAGCCGCTCGAGCACCGCTGGGAGGTTTTGTGTCGGATGCAGCACCTCCTCTCCGTAACCCGGGGGCTGCTTTTGCTGCAGCTGCTGTTAGGGACAGCCCGGGGCTGCCCCAGCTCTGCAGCACGCCCGGGGAGCCATCGGGGCAGGCTGCTCCCGGGACCTTTCCAGAAACGCGCTTGTGCTCCGGCTCTGGAGTTAAAGAACAAAAAATCTGAGCAAGAACCACCCAGCCCAGCCCCGGCTGGAATTCACCAGATCCTGACCGAGCCCGCAGACAAAAGAGATCCTTCCACGGACCTCGGGAGCGCCTGGGCTGAGGCAGCAGGAACTCAGCCGCAGGCACCCGCGGTGGGAGAGCTCTTCCCCGAGCTCCCTGCTGCTGCGGCGCGACCCCACAAACCAAGGGTTCCTCCGGGCCCGTCCCAAGAACCAAAAGCCCCGAGAACTGGAAACTGCCTTCCATTTTCCAAAGTATTTCACTCGTGGCCATTTTATATCTACTTTAGCTTAGGCGCCTTTTCCCTTTTGCCGTGCTTACCCCGCAGCACGCTTACCCCTAAAGCAGATTCCCGGTTCTGAGGCCGAGCGAGCCCTCCCGTGCGGCGTGCCCCGTACCCCCCGAGCCACCCCACAGCCTTTTCCGTGCCCACAATGACAGAAATTAAATCCTCCCTGAACACAGCCTGCAAGAAGAGGGGTGAGGGCCGGCATCTGAGCGGCACCACACACCCGGCAGCTCCCCCATGTGCTCCCAGAGCCCTGAACCCTCACGGAGGTGCCCCACAGTGCCAGCAGCAGCACGGCCCCGATCCTTCTGCAAACCACCCCCAGGAGCTCCCCTCAGCTAAAATTTCGTGGATGCTGCTCGCAGACAAGCAGCAGCCCTCCCTCCCCACGATGCCCCGTTTGCAGGCACATCAGCGCCGCAGCGCCCCGATCCCCAAACAAGCTGCTGCATAAACGCTTTTCGTTACAGTAAGAGCAGCAGGCGATGGAAATCGTTTTGTTGGAAGGCTGCGTGCTAATGTCATTCTGTCTAAGAGACAAAGACGACTCGAGCACTTCAAAGTTTCAGTCCCGAGGCCTGATTTACCAGGAGCTTGATAGTTGTGAAACTCCTTTAGTCGGAGCTGTGATTTCCTTCAGTTGTTTTTTTTTTTTTTCCCTAATTACACGATGCGAAGCACCACGTGGGCAGATATCTACAGGTTCAGGAGCGCCTGGCGCCGGTGCTGCTTATCCCCAGACCTACTGGTGTAACCGCATCCACGGCGGGCAAGCGCTGACCCTTTACCCCACCTGGGTGTAATCAGCGTGCCATATTTACATACTCATGGAGACAGCCGGGGTCCTGGGGCAAGGAAAACCCTACAGCGTAGGCAGACACGCTGCACTTAGGCAGCAGCACCTCGTGTTTATGGCGATAGCTGGTGTGCCAGAGGAGGTCCCGAGATGCTGGTGCTGACTCAGAACGAGCTTCACAATTTGCATTCGCCACCAACCTCAGCTTTCCCCTGCTCGGAGCTCCTGCCTCCCCTTTTGTAAAAGGAAATTCTTTCGTGTTTCATCGCGTTTTAACATCAGGCAGGTGGGTTTGGAGCACGCCGACACAGATGGGTAAATACAGAGAGAGACGCGCTGGGGAGCAAACAGCACCTAGCACACCCCGCATGGCCCTGCCACCGAAGATGCTCGGCAACGACCAAAAATCAGCCCCAAACCTGAGAAATGAGTCGGGTTGCACAACACCGATGCCCGAAGAACAACCTGCTGCACCACTGAGCACGGAGCCACCGCAGCCTGCCTGCTGCAGGACCTTGGTCCCGAGCAGAGCCGACCCGGAGCAGCGCAGCGATGGCAGGCACGGACCTCAGGGTAAGCCAGGAGCGCGGCACCTTCCCCTCGCACCGAGATCACAGCCACCGCAACTGCGAGTAGTAACCACATGAAAAAAAAAAGCGCGAGCGAACGCTTTTCCGAGCCGGGTGTAAGTTTAACAGCTCTGCCTGAGGAGCTCGTGACGCCTCCACGAAGTCTGGAGCTGAATGGGAAGGCGGCTCCCTCCCACAGAGGCATTCCCCTGCCTCTCCCCACTCAGCCCCGGCACGTGGCTGTTTGGGTGCCTCGCTCCACGCACGGCTCATCTCGGCACCTCACAGCGGCTTTTTGGGTGCGAACGACGGCAGCCAGGTGGGGAAGGTCACAATGAACTTACGGAGAAGAGGGACTTCAGACAAAAACGTGCGGTCACCCAGCCTTTTTGGGGGAAGACGGAGCGCATCGAGGGGCTCAAGCAGCTCACCGTGAACCTGAACGCCGACGCTGCGTGGCAGATCCCATCCTGCCCCGGCCAGAGCGAGCACCAGCAGAAACCCGAGCCAGAAAGGCAGCGCGGGTGTTTTGGTCTACCAGAAAAACACACGTGAGAAGTCAGCTTTCCACTCGTGGCTGAATTTGTGTGAAGCAGGACCCCGGCAGTTACTGGTCAGGCCTCAACGGCTGGGGACGAGAAGCACGGCCAAGAACCTGGGGCCACATCCAACGCCAGAACAAATCCGGCCAAAAAAGCATCGTCCAAACTCGCCCTGAAGACCTCGGGGTCCCAGCAGGGAAGGAAACCCAGAGCCACGAGCCGGGCTGCTGGGACCCTGCCGCCCCTGAGAGCCAACAACTGGGTCGGTGGGCTCGCCACCGGGGTAGGAAGGCCGGGGGGACGCGGCTCCTGCTGGGGGTGATCAGGCTGCGGGGTGACACCTCTGTGGGGTGTCACCTCCATGGGGTGCCACCTCTGTGGGGTGACAGCTCTGTGGGGTGCCACCCATGGCAGCCCCCCTGGAGATGGAGGGGATGAAGGCACAGCGACTCCAGGGGCTCAGCTCATCCTGCCCCCCTCAGCAGCCCAGCCTCACCTCTCCTCTCCTCACCTCTCCTCTCCTGTCGCCCCCGAGCCCTTCCCCAGCCCCTCGCCCCCTTCCCCGCACCCCCGGGGGGTCGGACCCCCCCTCGCCCCCTTCACCCGGGCAACCCCACGCCCTCAGCTCCCCGCTCCACACCCGGGCCCAGCCCCGCTCCGAGAAGGAAACCAATAAAAAAAATAATCAAAAAAAATCACGAAATCGATCAAAACCAACCCCGAGCGCGGCCGCCACCCCCGGGGAGAGGAGGTGGGGAGGGTGGGGGGGGACCGCGGCCCGCTGCGGCGGGGCGAGCCGGGGCCTTGCGTGGCGGCCGCCGCCGCAACAAAGGCAGGGCCCCGCCGCACCGCCCTTACCGGCTGCTGGGCCCCGGCCGCGGCTCGGCCCGGAGGAGGAGGAGGAGGAGGAGGAGGAGGAAGCACGGCCCGGCCCTGCCGTGCCCGCCGCCGGGGAGGCGCCAGCCGAGGAGGGAGGGACGGGGGCGGAGTGGGGCGGGCGCTGCGGGCTCGGGGCTGGGGAGGGGACCCCGAGGGGCTCCGAAGGTTTCTGAACGCTGAGACACCTCCTTGGGGTCACCCCGCTGCGAGCCAGAGGCCAAAATCCCCGTTAAATTAATGTGGGTTGTGCTGGGGGGTCCCCACCCTCTCTCCCTTCTGATGAGCACCCTGGGTTTTTACTGAATGTGGTAAAAATCCTCTCCCACACGAGGGACGAGCACCAGGCTGAGGCTGCCAGCCTCAGCCAGAGGGGGAAGATCCTGCCCCCTGCCAGCCCGGCCCCCACGAGCCAGAAATTCAGGGAGATGCCTTCAGAAAGGGGATAGCAACAGCTAGGATGAGGGAGCGCAGCAAGAGCAGCTCCAAAAACTCCTCCTGATCACAAAGCATCCAGTAATTAATAAATGAGTGCAGCTGGCATTAGGGCCACCAGCTGGTACTTGCTTAGTGTGATTACTCTGAAAATGAAGTTTTTCATCCATTCAAGCATTAGCCGGTTTGATTTCCATCCCAGGTCAGCAGGGCCTGTGAGGCAGGAGCTGCTTCCACCTGCCTGCTGGCCCAGGCACGATGCAGGGGGGTGTCATCCCCCCAAAAAACATCCCCCAAAACCCCAGGGGCAGCTCAAACCCGTTCATAGCACCTGCTGGGTGTCCTGACACAGCTACACCAGCACACCCAGCAGGAGGCAGAGCTAAATACCTCTGCCTTGGAGGTCAAGGGCATCCGACCCTCCTGCTGCCCCGATCCCCAGCCCTGTGCCTGCAGGCCTGCCCTGGGAGCAGGCAGGAGGGCTCTGCTTTTGGATCCCCTGGCAGTGGTGGACGTGAAGAGGGCGCAGAGCACTCGGCTCTCCCAGGGCTGTGGGGATGTGCTGCCACCAGGTAGAGGAACAGCTGCTGGTGGTGTTAATGCCTTCCCCAAGAAGAGGCTGCTTCGTGTCGTGCTGAGGAGAACAGGACCCGTGAGGTCAGGCAGCCCTGTTTCGCAGCCAACACAGATTTCCAATGCTTTGTCCAGGCTAATTTGAAGCACACCGTGCTCAGGGGGCCTGGACGCTTCTCCCAGGAGGCTTCCTGCAGCCTAATGGACGCTAATTAATAGATTCCACAACCTCTGAACTAACAATTAGATTGGGGACCAATAAATAATGCAGGACAGGCCTGTGTTTACAAACAGCGAGCTGCGCAGAGCTGACAGCACACTGATGCTGTGCAGAAGTTCAAGAGCAGCCAGGAACCCGCAGCAAACCCCACACGCCGAGCTGCCAAAGGCACCTTATGGTGTGTGCTTCCCTCCGACCTTTGAGGTACAAGTACACCGGAGTGACCAAACTACGGGGGATAGATGCTGCTAACCCCTACAAGTGGCCCAGGCTGCAGCGGTCAGTCTCTTTGTGACTTCTGGATGATGCCAGCCGGGGTTTCAGTCTCTTCAGATACCAATTAAACAATATTTTAACCAAGCAGACCACAGCAGTTTAATAAGAATAGTAGCATACATTAAAAAAAAATCCTGCACAGTCACAGGCACTCAGCCCAGACAGGACACCCCAGCCCCTCAGCAGTAACGTCACCACTGTCTGAGGAAGGTGAAAGTGCTGTTTAAGGATGGTGCTGGAGAGGGGAGGTGGGAGATTGGGCACTGGGGACTTCTGGCTCTGAATACTTACTGTAGCCCTTTGCCTGAGTCACCTACAGGTGTGGTTGTGGGGAGAGCCACACCGGTGTCCCCCTGGGCTCAGGAGCACCCCAGGCACGGTACGGAGGAGGTGACAGCCACACGAGAGCATTGGGGCAGCAGATTGTGGCTGAATGCAGCCTCCTCCCGACCTTGCCAGGCTGCAGTACAGAGGAAACAGCTGCAAACCTCTCTGGGGAATGGGTCTTACACACCGCTGAGGCCTCGCTGTGGGGAAAGACCTGCAGGTCTGCTCAGATCCTGCTCTGCCGTCACTGCTACACCTGGCACAGAGCAGGAGCTGAAGCCTTCTGTTTTCTCTCCCACTCCTCTCGCTATCTTTTCAGGCAGGCGATGTGTTTCACAAGAGACTTTGTAAGCAAAAGTACTTCATGGTCGCAAATTCACATCTGTTTCATGCTGTGCAGTGGCAGCATCAGAGCAGCTTTTAATTCAGGCATTGGGCACGTTTCTGGGGCGGGCATCTTCCGCGCTGTGTCCCTGCTAAAGCTGGTGTCGGAGGTAGCTCACCAGCACCGGGGGGATGTCCAGCTCGCCGAGGGCCTGCGCGTGGCCAGCCTGCTTCAGGAGGCGCCTCACCGCCAGCCTGGACTGAGACATCAAGGATTTGGGATGAGCTGCATAAGGAGAGAGGGGGAAAAAACAAAACCATCACTGCAGAGCTTCAGGACACACAACCCTGCTCCCCTCCAGCTCGTGTGCTGTCACAAGCACATCAGCTGATGCACCCAAACCGAGCATCTGCTGGGGCTGGGCACGCGGTGCAGTCAGCCACAAGCTTCATGGTGCGAGCTGGGCACATAGAAAGGAAATCTTCCAATATTACACTGAAAAGGTGAAGTTTCCCTGGACCTAGGCAGCACAAGAAAGCTGGCAGCAGAAATGAGGAGAACAAAGAAAAGCAGCGTTTAACCCAAAAGGTTTACATTGAGTGGCTTTTACATAAACATATGCAGTAGCTGCACCGAGTCACACCAAAGACCTCTGATTAGGTTGTCTGTCTCCAACAGCAGCCAGCAGTGAGAACTGAGGATGTTTGGTGGACATGAGGAGCAAGCCTTGCCACAAAACACTCCCCTAAATCCCAGCAATTTCTCTGGGGAGTTTCCTGGGGCAGCACGTGTATCTGATCATCATTTAACCACCAGGGGTGGACCTGTTCCCTGCAACTTTGTTAAATCCTTCTCTTAAGGCATTCAGTATCAGAGCCTTTTCTGTGGGTGTGTTTTGTGTGTGTGAACACCATTGTCAAGGTGAGAGGGAGAAAGAAAGAAATGTTCAGAATAAAATAGCAATAATATTCAGGAATGTAAGACTAGAGAGAGCCATGCTCTCAACTGAGGCTGCAAAGAGGGTCAAAGCATGCAAGAAAGCCTTGCCCAGGCTGATATCTCCCTCTCTGTCGGGGAGCAGAATTAAAGGGAAGGGGAATCTGAAGCAACTTGCCCCCGAATAAACAAAAATTGGTGCTAATTTCCAGCCCAGGGGCCACACACGCACAGATTACCTCTCGCCTGCAACAGCAGCTCCAGGCCCTCGCTACTGGGTGGCATCTTTTCCACCGCAACTTTTGGCAAATAGACGTTGGCTCCGAAGTCGAGGAGCAGCTTGATGAACTCCCGCCGGCAGCCGTGCCTCAGGCAGATTTCCAGCAGAGTCTTGGGCTCCTTGATGCGCGCGATCATCTTCTCCTCGGTGCAGTTGTAGTTGGGATCGGCACCGTAGAGCAGCAGCATCCTGAAGCACTCCAGGTGCCCGTAGACGGCCGCGAGGTACAGCGGGCCGGAGCAGGCGGCGGAGTTGGCGGCCCACTCGGGCACCCTCCCGTGGACGTTGGCCTCGGCGCCATGGTGCAGGAGCTGCTGCAGGATGCCGAGGTCCCCGTCCCTGGCCGCGGTGAGCAGCGGCGAGCTGTTGTTGTAGATGCTGCCGGAGGGATTCGCCCCGGCCTCCAGCAGCGCCTTCACGCACTCCAGGTGGCCGTTGCTGACCGCCGTGAAGAGCGGGGTCTGGGCCTTGACGTCCAGGCTGTCCACCTCCGCCCCGTGGGCCAAGAGGACCTCCAGGCTCCGCAGGTGGCCCTTGGAGGCGGCCAGGCGCAGCGGGGTGCTGGGCACGCCCCAGCCGCTCCGGCTGTTGATGACCCTCTTGTACCTGTCTTGGCTCAGGAGCCTCTCCAGGGTTTGATAATCATCCTGGGATACCACTTGGTTCAGCTCCTCGCTTTCTCTGGTACCTTCTTCGTCTTCTCTGGGCTGGAGCATGGAGAAAATCTTGGTGATATCCATGAGGCTCATTTTTTTGCTCTGTCTCCTGAGTACCACTTTCATTGTAAACAGAAAAGCCCAATATCTACGGGACAACAGGACAGGGTTAGAACCAGCTACCTCCGACACCAACCCTACCCTTTCGTTGTTACTTTCTATGCATTATCGAAGGAATATTCTCAAAAACAACCCTACTGTTTCTGACACACATATCCCACTGCCTCCACGGGTGAGGAAATCCACACTGGATTAATCCACATTAAGGCAAAGACTGTGGACATCGCTGTAGCACTCGAGTGGGCCACCTCCCCTTAAAACGTTACAATCAAGAACATGCCAAAAGAGGTGAATTTGGTGAAGGCCAAAGGCTGCATGGGTGAACTCACAGACCTTTTTATTTTAACTATTAAATGCTTTTCTGCTGCCCCCAGAGGGCAGGGGGGACAGGCATGGGACCACTCACAAGATAGTCAAACCCAGAGCTCAGGAGGGAACCTGCACGGCCACAAACTTCTGCAAGGACCCATCGAGCTGCTCCCATCGAGCCTGAGGGAAGGCCAGGTGGGAACAAGCAGCAGGACTGACTCTGCTCCATGTGGGCCAACACTTCTGTAAGAAGCCTCGCTCGTAGCTGCATTTCCAGGTATTTCGAGGCCTACGGAAAACACGATTTAGGAGCTGACAGCAGCTCTGGGTTTTGCTCAAGAGCACTCACAAACAAGAACTCAACTTTTCAACCCAGTCACATTTTTTTTTTTTTTTTAAGGGATTGGGTTTCACCACAAGAGAGGAAGCTAACATGAGCACAGCCATATTGATCAAGCATTTTCAGCATCGCCGTTCCTTGAAACGCCGATGTTCAAATTCAGTGCAATGACCTCCCTCCGCTCTCCTGCCTCCTGAAGGAACAAGGCTGCAGGAAGGAGCTGTGGGTTTCCTAGCAGGCCGTGCAGGGAGGAAGAAGAGGGGTTCCTGAGCTTGTTACACCCACACTGGGACCGAGACCCAGGGTGTCTGCAGGGTAGAGCCTCGAGGTGGCCGGGTGGCACCAAGGGAGAGGGATGTGATGTGGGACAGGCACCCGAGCAGCTGGGTGGGCAGAGGAATTCCTCGCAGCAGCGCGGCCCTGCAGCAGCTCGGGTTTCCTGCAGGAGAGGCAGCGGCAGCGGGAGGGCTCGGTCTCCCCCGCCTCCATGCAGCAGGGCGCTGAGCAATTAGCCCCATTCTGCAAACGAGCATCTGATGGCAGCAAGGCAAAGCCACAGGAGACGTGTCCCACATCAGCCTTCGCTAGCAAGGTGTGCGAGCTCGGAGGGCTCCCCTGTGCCGAGACACCTTCGCAGCTCTATTTTTGGGTTAGGCAGAGCAAGTTTGCTGGCAGCTAGGGAAGGCAAAGCTCTGTTGCACGTCCACCTGTTAAACAAACCCAATCCGTTTATAGAGAAACACTTGGAATTATGTTAGTTTTATTCTTTAGACACACCAATAATAAGTGCTAGGGCTTTGGAAACCTCCCTACTGACACAGCCAATAGTTCTTTGGGGGGAGGGTATACGTGGGATGGTGGGGTAGGGATTGAGGGTCAGGGATTATTACAGATTTGATCTAAAAAGACAGTTATACTTCCAATGAAAATAGTCTGGAAAAAATAAAGCCGGCTGTAATATTCCCTGAACACACAAATTACATGTAGGGGCAGTACTTTGACAGCGTAAACACTGGTGTGAGGAGCTCACGGATGCTCCTTGATCCAAAAAGCTCAAAGTCAGAGCCTTCAGTACTTGAGCTAATGCAAGCTGTCCATGGATCTGTGGACACAGAAAATTCTAGAGCCGAAGATGACACACAGAACAGCAGGGTATACTCACACCTCTAAAGCTCTGGCTACCAAGTGATCTTCAATCCCCCACGCTGCCCACGCATCACTATGCTGCTGCCTTACCTCTGTGAGGTAGGTGATGCTCACACCCGAGCCAGGCAGGGCTGCCGCAGTCCCATGGCCAATTCCCCCGCGGTTTAAGTGCGAAATGGAGGTGAGAGAGAAGCTCTGGCTCCGCCAGGGATGGCCATCCACTCTGCGCAACTGGAAGGACGCAGGCTGTCAAGCTCACAGCTGAAATGCCACTGCGGGGAGAAGGGCCAGGGAGCTGGGGCTAAAATTAGCCCCCGCAGGCATTTATCTTCCCACTTCCATTCTTGGAAAGTTCCCACTGGGTAAATATAGATAGGGGCAGCAGGGGGGAGACTCAGACAGGTGCAGGAGGCTGTTTGACCCAGGGCAGTAGCTCCGGGCAGACACAGGCTTCATTTGCTTCAGTTTCCTTGCTGAAATCACAGAGAACTGCTTAGTTTTGAGCCCGTGCTATGAGCCAGCTCCCCAGGCACTGCCCTGGCAGGACAGCCCTGCCCTGCTGCAGCACTGGCCTTCACAGCACCATTGTCCCACTGGATTCCCCTATTAATGCCTCTCCTGGGCGCCTTTTCCACTTTCAGAACAATAACGGGCAAAAGGTGCTCTCCTCCCTGCTAAGCCTGCCAGAACAAGCCACTTACTTGGCTTTATAAAATTACACAGCATATAGCAAGGCAAAAACTTTACAGGGGCAAACAAAAGGGGAAGGAGTGCTGGGACTGTCTTATCACAAGCTGTCAGCTGGTAAGTGTAATCGTATTTTATCCAGTTCCCTGTAAACCTTTTCCTAACTTTTCGGTGGTGGAGCAGGAATGGTCTGTCAGCTTGAAGAAGCGCTATCAGTGGGACTAGATAATGAGGAAGGAACCAAGTTATCCAGCAGGAGAAATCTCTGCTGCAAGAACTGAAATCAGGGGACTCTGCAAAACAGGTCTGAAGTCATGTCGTTCCCCTCCCCTGCACTCCAGGGAGTTTGTAGTTGCACTGGGAAAAGTGTGAAGAGCAAGAAAACAAAATATTAACAGGTTTTAGACCTTTGGCTTACTTGCAGTTTCAGTCTCTCCACATTCACTCAGAAATATTTATTCTACAAGAAGGTCCATTTCCCAAAAATCAGGACTGTGTAGAATTAAGAAAAAAATGTGAACAAACATCTGAGCAGAAGCTGGGAGTTAAGGATTTATTAAATATCAAGAAGCCTCAATCACAAATGGGATCCTGCAGTCAGAAAAGCCAAACCTGACTGGAAAGCCATTCAACAAAACACAGAAATAAAAACAGAAAATAAAAAGACAGTATGGGGCGGGGGTTAAATCAATATACCTTAAAAATAGGAAATGCAGGAAACTAAGATGTTAGACATGAAAGGAAAATCCTTGAATGGAAAATTTAAGGATAAATTGCATATTCTTTTGCTGTTGCTGCTGCTGTTTAGTTTTTGACCAAGAAATCTCAGAAGCACTACCAGCTTTTTGGCAAAAAGCCGTGATAGATAAATCCAACAGTAACGAAGCAAGGAGTTTGGAGTGCTTGTTGAATAAATCTACCCTTCAGAACCATACAAAAGCAAACTGAAATACTTTTTATGCTCCTGTAAGTGCTAAAGAGCCATGTCAAACAGCAACTTGCATGATTACTTAAATCAGTAGATTCAGATAAACACTAAACAGGAGCCCAAGCAGAGCTGACTGATAAGTCAGACCCATTTTGGCTAAGCTTCCTAATGCTTCAAAGCCTGGGGAGGCTGAGGAGCCAGGAGGAGCATTTGTGATCTGTGTGAACACCAAAAGCAAGTGGACTCACCCTGAAGTAGTTCGCTGACCTGACACATTCTCCAGGCAAAGCCATTCCTTTCCCAGCTGTCCATTAACTGGAGAAGAATTAAAGGGCAGAAGTATATTTAATGCCAATAAGAAAGGTTTTTAGGAAGGTAAATCCTGTCCAGTGCAGTTGCTTTCATTAGAAAGATTACAGCTATTAACACAGCTGGGAAAAAAAAAAAATAATGAGCTTTCTGATTTAACACTGCAAAGCATTCTGACTTCAAAGTTTAGCACCAAACAGTACCAAATAAATCATTTTGCAGGATTAGGGATTTACTAAGAGTCCTCACGGTCTGAAATGCAGAGTTATTGTGTGGGGATACTTCTGGCTCCTGCCTTTGCGCTATAAATCACTGCAAAGCAGTAACAACACCAGGGCTGCTTTGAGCTTGGGCTTTACCTCTGTGCCATTCAAATACCTGCTCGCAGCCTGCTGGCACAGCCTGCCTGTTCTGCCGGCCACAAGCTCAGCACTCGCTTGGAAGTGGTTCTGGTGGCAGCCCCGGCAGCAGTGTGATTCGGATTTTAGCCACGAGAGGGCAGGGACAGACACCCTGCACCGCTCCTACCTGCACACGGACAGCTTCCAGGGCGCTCCTCAGCAGTTTATAGTCAGATGGATGTATCAGCCTACAAAATGCGTGGTTAACATCACTGTGAGACGAGCTCACTGAGCTGAAGAAGGAACCGAGAAACTTTTTTCCTCCTCCATGAGCAGTAATTCCTCAAGGAACTTTAGCCACGGAGGCTCAGCAGCACGGAAAGCCAGCTCCCTGCTCTCGCTCCCTTCCAGGCACCTGTTGCTTTTCGGATCCAAGGATGTGCTGGAGCCCGTGGCTATAAACTGATGCTAGAATACGATCATTAAGGACCTGAAAATAACCCAAACTCAGCGTGTGCCCGTTCTGTGATGCGAGTTAATCTGTGTGATACTGATCTTTCACAGAAATCTGCCTGTTTGTCCCAGTATTCTCCGCTCAGTGTGCTCCAGGCTGACAACGCTCAGGACGTTATTCATGGCAGAAGTAGGGGGTCTCTTTCCTTTTGTTTTGCAAAACTAAAATTCACTGCTTTTAATTCCAAAGATTTGAAGATAAAGTAAAACCCTAAGAAGCTTTGAGTCATGCCACCCCCAAAGACAACTTTGCCCTGAGATCACAAACCATATACTCAGCAAGCAAAGTTTGCTTTTTTTTAATTATTCAAAGTATTAGGCAAAAATAACAGGCGTAGAAGAAATACCTGCTTTTAAAGGATTCTCCAACAGCAGGAGAGATTGCAACAACCTTTCAGAACCAGAATTTCTGACCTGTGAATCACCATATTTACCCCACTTTTTTAAACTCCACATTGGATCGCAGCATAACAACAACAATCACTGCTTCCAGAAAAGCAGCACTCAGAGAAAAAGAATTGGCAAAAGCAAAAGTGTTAAAATCTGAAGTGTTGTGTGAAAGGAAGGATGAATAGGATAAAAACCAAGAACGGGATTTGATTTTCTTGAAAGAGACAACGTGCTGCCCTTACGTTGGTATGGATAGGTCAGATGGTCCTGAAGGTCTTTTCCAACCTCAATGATTCTGTGATCTTCATCCTCTCCCCAGCTTCCCCTCTGTCAGGTAAGATCTGTAAACACTTGTGTTGTTTAACTCCCTTCCATGCCTCACCAGTAGGGGGGACTGTACAGAACCCCAGAACACCTGCAGGACCCTCAAATTCTCGAGCCTCAGCCTTTGGTTCATGTCTGCTTCATTCCTGGTGTACCAGCCAACAAACTCATTAGATAAGAGCAGCACCTGGTAACTCTGCTTATACACAACTTAACTCTGCCCCCCGGTGTTATTTATTTTACCAGTTCCTACTCACACTAGATTCCTTGCTCCTCTCTCCCATGGCCGAGCAGACTCCAAGATCCGTTCCTTGTTAAGAAAAGTGGGGAGGAAATAAAAGACTCAGTAAATAGCATTCACTTTCCCCCAAACCACTGGAATAGAGACATGGGAAATGAGGCTCTGATCTGAGTTAAGATGTGTATTACTGTTACAGTTCCTGTTTTGTCTCTCCCATCTCCTCCGCCACCATCCCCAAGTGAAACAAAACAACACAAGTTACAGGAAAACACCTGAATATGGAAGCTTTGGATTACATGTGAGAAATTGTAATTAACACACCTTCTGCCTGTAATGAAAGACATTTCATCTTCACTTATTTAGTCACGTGAGCGTGCAAGGATTTGCAGCAGCTCCACGTTAACTGACCTGTGCAGACCCATGCAAGGCACTGCAGACGTTTCCTCTCACCGTGAGTAAAGCTGGTGAAGGTTCAGTTCTGTTACTGCACTTCATTCACAGATGAATTTGTCCTTTTTACGTGTATGCATGAAGTCTCAAATTATTGCCATCATCTTTAACTGCTAGGTGACTGAGCTGAAAGGAACAGAGCACAGAGTTACATCGCCAAAGAATGAGTACTACAATACTCAAATGAGTACTACAATACTCAAATTCTCCAATGCAGAATTGAAACAAACCAAGTATTTAAATGTTGTTGGCACACATGAACCTGAACCTCAACAAGGCAGCAAGTTAACTTAAATGTTTTTTTCCACCTAAACAATAGGTTTGACTTCTGTGCATAGCTCCAAGTAAGTTTACTGATGAGTATTTTTATTCAGCGTATTTCAGGAGCTGTTCAAAACTAGAGCTGGTAGAACCACAAGCCTTTAGCAATACTCTTACAATGACCCTACATGCAATCTACTCCCTCAGCACTTGTTAGCTTCAATAGGGAAGTTTTAAATCCCCCTCAGCAAAGATGCTAACAGACAGTATGTTTCCCCAAGATATGTTAGTTTTATCCATTCCACTCCACTGTCTTCATTACATGCTAACAATCCAGTTAAATGCAAGGCAAGCAGTCTAGGTAAATGAAAAATTTCTCTGAAAGCATTAGGAATATTTAAACCAAGCAATAAAAAAGACTCCCAGACATCTGAAGACTGAGTATGCCCAACTGTCGGGCATATTTTTGGCCTTCATACATAGAAGATATCCAGTTTTTAGGACGTACATTGCAGTGGGAAGGATTCAGCAGCTGGGTAACAGGTATTGGCTTTGGGCCCATCCCTAGTGATCATGGTCTCACCACCCTCCTGCCTGGTGATGTGTAGCTGGGGGCTATTCATACTTCAGGTGTAAGCCTGAATGGCCTGGTGCTGAACTGACCCAGGAGGAACAGTTCCTCTCTCTCTGCTGCTGCCCTCCTGTATGTTCCTCTGCAAGCGCCCCCCATCTCTCACATGGCAGTAAAAGCCTCCAAGCACTTCTTTTAAAATTACTTGCTAAAATAGCTTACACTGCTTTGCCAGGCACACATTTAAACAGTTTATGTAAGTTTACCAAC